TACCAACTTACCCCATTTATTGTTTTGAATAAATATTACTTTAAAAACCAAAAGATTCAAACTATCCCTTCGACTTAGTTTAGTTTCGAAAACTTTTTCTCAGGTGCCTTAAAATAATATTTTTCGCTTTCCATTACTAAAAGTATCTATTTCCACTTACCCGGAGCACCAAACTGTCCTGCTTTACCAGCGCCACCACTCACCAGTGATTTGATGCTTTCGATCTTTTGGTACAGCGGCGATGACAGCAACAGCGATGCTAGTTCACCTTCGCTTAAAGGAGCTGCTAATCGATAACTCTCCGGCATTAGTCGACCTTGTTGCATAGGGGGTGGGGTAGCTTCAGATTCGATAGTAGCAGCTACAAGGTTATCGACATGAATGCTTTCCTTTAAAGCGATCACTTCTTCAGCTTGAGCTCGATCGCGCTCAGATTGTATTTTTTCTTCAAACTCTTTCTTCTCCTCTTCGTTTCGAGTTGTAAGTTCAGCCACCTTAGCCTGCCGTTTTGCGTCACGTCTTTTCTTCAGACGTTCCTCCAGTGAGCTCTGCATCCTCATTCTATCTGCATCCATTTTGTTCATCAATTTAGCCAAGTCTTTGCTGTGCTCTTTCAATATGGCTTCTTGGTCTTCCTTTGAAGCCCCCTGTTTGCTCATTTTATCCATTTCTTGTTTGACTTTTGCCTTCTTTTCCTTCAGTAGGGCTTCTTTGCGAGTATTTAGAGCTAAGATTGCCTTTTCGTTCTTTTTCTGTTCTTCTTCTGCCTCTTGTTCTAGTTGTTTGTCAAACGCCTTGAGTTCCTCTTCAAACTTTTGTTGTTGCTCGGCTTCAAATGCTGAAGTGAAAAACAGATGCAAATCAGATAGGTTTCGGATGAAAACCGATTCAATTGAATCATATGAATTCCTTACGCTTTCTTAACCTGAGCTAAAACGTGAAAGATACTAACTTTCATTTTCCTGTTTGAGTTTCAGTTCATTCTCCGTTCGCTGTTCATCTAATTTTTGTTTGACCATTTCCAGTTCCCTCGCGGCTGCCAGCGCCTTGTCGACTGATCGCCTGTGTTCCTCTGCCTGCTCTGGAGTCAACTCATTCAAAGCATCCGCATATTCCTGGAGGAGGAGAGGAATAACATAATTAGACGAACACCACAACATGTCCATCCCTATATACGATCACACCATTCCTTGAGAAGGCATGAAATATTGAAGGACAGCGACACCTCTTTCGATTCAAACTCACCTGGTAGTGCTTCTCCTTGAGTTCTAACTTCGCACGTGCATAGCGTACTTCCCAATCCGAGAGCATACCATGTTGAATTTGTTTCCTTTGATCAGCGTGTTTTTTATCCAGCGCACTTTGTCGTAGCTGCTGTTGGTTCAATATCTGCGCCCTCTTTTGCTGCAGCTCTTCAGGGTTTAATTGTTGCTTCTCCAGTTCTTTCAGTTCTCTCTCGTGTTGAGCCCGCAGTTCATCATTTTCTTGTGCATGTCTTTCTTCCATCTTAGCCAGCGCTTCATCAACAGCCACTTTACGTTCTTCCTGGAACATACGCTCCAAGTCTTTCAGCTCCTGACTTTGTCGTTTTTCCAGAACCTGTGAACAGATCAGATATAAGTCTGTTACTTAAATTCATAGAAGTACCCATCGTGCCATCACGGCTGACCGCAAACTTGGGTACAGCTATCAGCCCTAACAGAGGGTGTTGCCATTAGGGCTGACCACAAACTAGGGTAGGAATGAAAGTGGAATGAAAGCAATGAAAGTGAATGATTCGATACCTTAATAGCAGCATAGGCTGAATTGCTAAGGTCTACAGTGTTACTAAGGTTGAGATCGGATGTCAGCATTATCAGGCGCCTTTGGCAGCCGCTTTAGTCCATGTAATGACCTCACCTTTTCCCCCCACACATCCCAGCCCAGGGGAGGACATCCATCACACAGTAATCTCGTGTGTGGGAAACTAACGTCTCCTACCCTAGCCCTGCAGGAGACGGGACCTCCATTTTATTCGTGCTTATCCGAGAAGACTAGAATATCTATCCATTTCATTGATGTTATAGAAAGGTAGCAAATTCTCCTCAGTTATTTTAAGACCATGAGTATTGGTCCGGCCGGGGCTCGAACCCTCGACCTCCCGCACAACACAATCCGGCGCTCTAACCAATTGAGCTAACCAGGAGGCGGTTA